CCCCGCGAGTATCGCGGGTCCCCCTCTTGTGTTTATCTAATTCCCTCTTGAAGCCATCCATGCTTGTAGACGCCACGACCTCCTGTGGCAGTGAATTCCATGTCGGAGGCTTTCACGGCCGGAGTTCGTCAGCTGTTGTAGATTTTCCGGGTTGTATGGCTGTGGTCTTGACGTCAGGTCCTACCAATGCAAGACCACGGCCATACAGCCCGGAAAATCTACAACAGCGAATAAAATACAATAATATTCCTATGTTTTCCGCCTGACATCTCACTTGGCGCAAAGCCTGGGTAGTTCTCCCCTGCCCCTCGCTTCCTCTTTTCACAGAAAATTAGCGCTATTTGGGAAATTGCAGATGCCTAAGTGCCACCTGGTTGAAAAGAACACTCCAAAACCCCTCATTGCAGAGACGATTATGCAGGGCACAAACTGGAACTCTCCCTAGTAACAGGCTGTTTCTGTCCCCTTCCCAAAAGAAGGGGGGAGTGGTCGACACCCATGCTCTGGTTGTGCCAAATCGTCTTGTTATCTTTTATTTTCCCCCATCTTGAGAAAAGTGCCGCCTTGCTCTTTGACAGGCCTGAATGGAAGGGAGGCGAAGAAGGCAGGAGACAAAGGTGTGATTGCGGAACAAGACAATAAATGGAGAGCATTGAAAATGTCAAATGAGGTAGGCATGAAAATGAGAGTCGTTTCCACACAGGCCTGCCTTCAAAGGTTCCAAAGCCCAGACCTTCCACTCCACTCCACTCCTCTCCCCCCTCCCCTCTTTAATCCACATCAAGGTTCCTGTCCCATAATAAAAGGAAAGTGTTGTTTTTTCCCCTTGATAAAACAGGAAATAAAAGGTAAAAATAAACGTTTTTCAAAGAAGTAATTGGAAGCAAAAGAATTAATATTTAGAGTTCCCAAGCAGTTCTGAGTATGGGTTGGGATGTAGTGAAATTAGCCCTAAAGCAGAGGATGATGGACATGGAGAGACAGGCAGATCTTGGTAGATGTCCTACGTTTAGAGCCCCAGATTCTATCAAATATCACGTGCAACTCATGTTCTATTTATCGCAGCTTGATAACTCACAAGTTTCGGAAAGCCTTCGCATTAGCCAGATGTGAGGCTTTCCCCTCCGCCCTGCTTGAGGGCAGATTCAAAAGGATCCCCACTGAATAATGATTTTGCCAATGTGGTGTCTTCAGACAGCACTGGCTCTTTGGCTTGGAAATGGAGATGAGCACCGTCCCCTAGAGTCGAATTCGACGGGCTTTCAAGCAAGGGAGACCTTTACCTTTCACCTTTATATTTCAAAGAGTGAAACAGTGTTCTGTGACCAAAAAACCCATACTATATGAATGGAATAGAGTAAGCAAATTATTCATTTGTTCATTTGGGGTTAGGGTTGCCAGCTCCAGGTTAGAAAACTCCTTGAGATTTGGGAGTGGCACTTGGGGAGAACAGGGACCTCAGTGGGATACAATGTCATGGAGTCCATCCTGCAATTCATCTATTTTCTGCAGGGGAACTGATCTCTGTAGTTTGGAGATGAGCTGTAATTCTAGGTGATCCCCAGGCCCTAGCTGGAGGCTCAAACAACACAAATATACACTGCAAAAACCTTTTTATAAGTTAATGTGTTCTATTTGTTCCATCTTATAAAGTGCATTGTGTATTATTCATAATGTTCTAAAACAGGTATATATTCATTACATGCAGTATCAACAGTAATAATCAGTTTGTACAATCTAATAGCTACCAGTCAATTTACATCCTTTTTACACAATCAACCCCAACGGGAGTTTCTAGAATTGTACACCCGCTTCTCCTTGCTTGAAAGTCTTCTAAAGGGGGAAGTTTCCTTTTGTGGTTACATTGAAGTTAAAATTGATGTTTGTTGCTGGTCCTACAAAACACAGCCTTGAGAAAGACAGGAGCGCTCCGTCTAGGATTGTCAGCTGCTTAATGGGGTAAGAAAACGACATGAAGCCAAGTTATATTAGATATATTATATCATTTTTAGACTCATGATTTATGTCTTTTAACAGGATGTAAATTGACTGGTAGCTATTAGATTGTACAAACTGATTATTACTGTTGATACTGCATGTAATTAATACATACCTGTTTTAGAACATTATGAATAATACACAATGCACTTTATAAGATGGAACATACAGAACACTTTAACTTATAAATAAGGTTTTCACAGTGTATATATTTGTTGTTTGACTCTTCTAACACTGCAGCTCGAGTTTCCACAGGACTTGTTCCAGGCCTGCCAACTCTCAACCGTGGGCTCCCCCCGTGCCCGGGCAGAAGCTGCGTAGGAAACTCACCTGTGGGCGAGAGCTTTTGGAAGATGTTGTTGACCGGGAGGCCCTCCTTGCGCAGCGACCAGTACTCCACGATGCTGTTGTTTTGGTTGGAGGCGCAGAGCAGAATCTGGGGAAGGAGAGGCGCAGGAAAGCTATTAACGTAAACTCTGCACACATTCCTTGGGGATGGTCCCGACGGAGCTCGAGAGCCACCAACAGGAGGGGCTCCCCATTTGACACACACTGGGACTTCACCTCGTGTTTTGGTCAAGAACACATCTGATCCTATCCTAAAATTCCCCCTTTCTGGAATGCAGTTCTGGGACAAATCAAATCTGTCACCCACTTAGACATCGCCCCCGCACCGGAAAACTTGTTTTTGAATGGATGGGCTGCTAATGGCGCCTCAAACACCATCATAGAAAGGGTCTCTATGGCCCCGGTCACACGGGCCAGATCACGTGGTGGGGGGGAGGTGTGGCTGTTCGCCCCAGAGCAAAAAAATTCATGGTAGCCCGATCACACGGTCCCCCGAGTCTTCGTGCTTAGGCTGTTAGCTGGTGATCACACGGCGATGCTGGAGCGTGGCAAAGAAGCGGCGCGGCAAGCATTTGTGCGCACGCGCAGTTCCGCGGGGCAGCACTGATTTCAGTTTCGTGTTTGTGCGCATGTGCTTAAGAAAAACATCCAGTTTGCGACGGGACATGGATGGGCACCGGATGCCATGGGATATTAGCGCTCCCGCGATCAGACGCCTGCCCCTGCCCTGTGTTTTCCGGATACTAGCACACTTTCCGAGGTACTTTTTTACTGCACACCTTTGGCGGGACGCCACGGGTTGGCCACGGGTGCGCTACGCTTCCCAGATGTTGCGGTGTGATCGTGCCCCGAAAATCCACCTGACATTCGTGCCTTTAGTGCGGCAAATCCTCCGTGTGACCGGGGCCTATAATGCTTTTTGCTGCCAAAACTGTCATTGCCACACACTGGAAAAGGACGACACCCACACGTTCACAATGGCATAAAAAATTATGGGATTTGTATGTCACGGCTAAACTCTCGAACAATCTTACGCGTTTTGATAAGATTCCCGCTCCTACTGATTTTGTTTCACTGTGATTTCCTATCTTGGGATTTCTAACTAGTCAACAAGATATCCCCAAAGTAATGGATGACCTTTGGTTATGGTAATGCTTATCAATGTATTCCAGTAGACTCACAGTGTTTGCATTTGTATATCTTAACTATACGCTAGGTCTACAGATGGTACCTTATATCTCTTGCTTTCTCGTTATAAATGTTATCGTTATTGACACTACAGTGCACAGTATTTGGTTTATTCGCTACTCTTCCTGTCTGTTATGATAGCCTTTCGACAGCTTTTATTTTTGTAATGTCTATAAAATTTTCTAAAAATTCAATAAATGTTATTGTACAAAGAAAAAGGGGGAAAAAAGAAGACATCTGATTCTAGCAAGGCCTTCATTTCTAAAACCGAGAGGGGAAAAAACTTCTTCCTGCTCTCTCTGAATGCCAGGCATGATTTTATAAACCTCTATCTTGGATGGTCTAAAGGGTCGCCAGGTCCGACCTGGGGAGGCGTTCCTGGAGGGGGCAGGAATGTCACATGATGTCCCTGATCCAATGACGTCACACGGAAGCAATGCTCCCTCTAAGCTGTGGAGTCTAGTGAGCAAAAAAATCTGCTTTCTGAGTGGCATTAAAGTTGTGAGTGAGCCAGTTGGCTACTGCATAAATCAGTTGGCTCTGGAGCCCTCCTTCCTGAGCTGAGGCAAAAATCTGTGAGCTGGAGGCTAAAAAACTGTGAGCTAGCTCACACTAACTCAGCCGCCCTGAGCTCTACTGCAGGGAAGGGCGGCCTAGCAAATCTAAATAAATAAATAAATGGTACAAATGGCTTCTACCATAGAGTTTTGGCCCAAATGGTAGAGCATAACCCAGATGTCACCGACATGATGACATCACTTCAGGTGCATCCTGGAAGTGACATTGTCACCAGTGTTCCCTCTAAGTTGAGTTATTGTGAGCTAGCTCACAGTTTCTTAGCCTCCAGCTCACACATTGTTTTTTAGCCTCCAGCTCACAGAGCAAACTCATTCATGCAGGAGCCAAATCGCTCGCTCACGACTTTAATGCCGGTAGCTCACAAAGTAGAATTTTTGCTCACAGGTCTCCACAGCTTAGAGGGAGCATTGCTGACGAGGGGAGGGAATGGTTAAAATGAGCTGAAGCAGTTGCTGTAACTGTGTAGAACAATGGCATGATTATGGGCCTTTCTGAGAAGCAGAGGCAGAGTAACAAGTTTAGAGATAAGGTGGGAAGGGTGTGTGTAAAAGAATTTGGATGGTAAGCAGTAGCCTTGACTTACTTTAAACACTAGTAAGAGAGCCAGTTTGGCGTAGTGGTTAAGTGCGTGGACTCTAATCTGGGAGAACCGGGTTTGATTCCCCACTCCTCCAGTTGTACCTGCTGGATGACCTTGGGCAAGCAGCTGCTCTGAGACACCTTCGGGTAGTGAAGGGCGGGGTATAAATCCAATCTCTTCTTCTTCTTCTAATAAGTACGCATGTCTAATCAACTGATGAATATTACCTAACCCGCCTTGTTTACGTAATGAGCTATTTTAAATGCACATACGATCCATGATGAGGGAGTTGCATGTTTTATGGTGTGTTGTAGGCGGAACTGAAAGAGTTGTAAGCTCCGGATCCAGTAAAGGAAAAGGGGCAGGGCCTACCGGCTGGTGAGACCTGATAAATGGGGGATTCTTGGAATGCTAATTTGAGTTCGTCTGCACTCCCCTTTATTGTCAATAACGCATAACTAAAAGATACTCCTGACTGACTTTCTTGTCTTTGGTATGTCCCTTAGAGTGGCTAAGATAGACACACATTGTTTCTAGCACTGATGAGACTGCCTGTTTTGTTTCCACTTCCTTTCCTGACCATTCCGGGGATCGAGTTTGCCTTTTTCCAGCAAACCATGCTGGAGGCAGTGCCCAAATCTCTTCTTCTCTTTTGGGAACTAAACCCCAAAAATAAGACAGGGAGAAAAGAGCGAGGTCCCAACCTGTTCCGACATGTCCCGGGCAAAGAATTTCAAGTGGGTGATCGCCGGGTACTTGTCCTTCCGGGCCGGATCCGTGGTGCAGCGCATGAAGAGGGAGGGGAGGATCTCCGTGTCGATCTTACACTTCTCGTTGACCACGCTGACGCAGACCTTGTAGAACTGGACCGGGGAGGCGTTGCTGCCGTCCGAGGTGGCGACCACGATGTTGCCCCCGCCCGTGAAGGCGATGTCGGCCAGGGCCACCCGGCAACGTAGGCGGCACAGGCTCTCCGTGGAGGTCAGGACCTGCCCGTTCGGCTTCAGGAGCGAGACGGTGACCAAGCCGCTGATGGTGACGGCGATCCAGCCTTCCATGGGCTTCCCACCAAACAGGGTCAGCGACGGGGAGAACTTGACCCGGGAAAACTTCTCCCCGAAATTCGAAGCTCCAGACTGAGAAACGGGAGACAAATGTAAAAACAGGAGGAGTCGTATGCACTGTTGGGGCGGGGCGGGGGCGGAATGGCATTTCCCTTGGCAGTGGTGTTCTTTACGCACTTTTCTGAGAGTAAGCCGCACTGAACAGGATTTACAGTAGACTTGCTTAGGGTGGCAGTGCTACTTACTTGAGCCCACTAGGGATGGAAGAGTCCATTTCTCCCTTTAAAATATCTCCCATTTTTAAACACTTAAAGCAGGGGTGTCGAACTCATTTGCTATGAGGGCCGGGTCTGACATAAATGAGACCTTGTCGAGCTGGGCCATGTGTGTCATAAAAGGTAATGCCAGGTAGCAAAGATATAAACTTTATAAAGGACACAAACACAAAGGGGTTGTTTTACTTAAAATAAAAACATGCTTAAAACATTAGCACTCTTGCAATATTTTGTTTATTTAACAGTGTCTGATAACTGACACCTCTTGCTGTGGATTATTGCATCAAAACGTCTGTGCTGTTGCAATCTTATGCTGTTCAGGTGTCTATCTGTAAACTGCAAACCTACGATGACGCAGCAGCAGCAGAAGTGGAAGAAGAAGCAGAAGACAGCCAGTTCTACTGCGAGCCTGATAGAAGCCCTCTGGGGGCCTGATCCAGCCCCCGGGCCGCATGTTTGACACCCCTGACTTAAATGGCTTAGGGTGGGAGTCCTGTAACACCCCCCAAAACCACATGCCCAAACCCTTGAACTGCAACTAATACACTCGAGGACCAGTCTGAACAACTGGCAGAATCAGATTAGAAATGTTTTTCTTCCTGGACTGCATGTGAGTTCTAAATGGGGCTGTGGGCTTGAATTCTCCCTGTCATACACGACCCCCCCCCAAAAAAAAAAAACCATTCCAAGCATGTAGAGAATTGGCAATACAGGTTAGCCTGAACCTTATCCTCTACATGCTAGTTTTCTATATGAACTGAAATTTTGACTGTGTGTGTATTTTGGCTAGTATTTGTGGTACTGTGACGCAAGGGTGTAGACTTTCCAATTTCCCGGGGGGGGCTGGGGCTGGGCCAGAGGCATTGCTTTGCTAGGAGCAAGGGTGGCTCCCGGGGGAGGCTGAGCACCTTCCTGAAAATTTCGGCGGGGGCTGAAGCCCCGCCGCCCCCACGAAGATTACGCCTATGCTGTGACGTACTGTCAAGGGTTAACATTCTGACAGAGTCTGAGAGCCTTTGAGTGACAGACTGTTCAAACCAAACTCTGTGGGGAGTGCCAGTTAACAAATGACAGTTGGGAACTGACAGTTGAAAAAGAGAAAGTTTAGCATTCACTGAGAAGAGGCTAAAAGAGGAGTGGGAGGATCACAGAAGATCCCCATTAAAGATGAAAAGGGACAGAGCTTCTAATCTAGAGAAGTAATCCCTGCCCAGTGAAAAGGGAGATCACTCTAAAGAGAGGAGTGATCCCTTGTTTATGTTTAGAGAAGGATTCTGGGAACTCTGTTGTGTGTTCCTGCCTTCTAAGACTTGAAGAGACAGTAAAACCCAGGAACTTATGCTTGAATGTTTAAGCAGACACTGAAAAGAAAGTCTCTCTCCTCAAACTTTCAAAGACCTTGTTGAAAAGTAAAAATACCTACACATTGGCAACAAATTATCTTGAATTTAGTGTGATTACAAAGTTACCTCAGTTATTATCATCTGTCCACCTCATACAGAGAGCCAGTTTGGTGTAGTGGTTAAGTGCGCGGACTCTAATCTGGGAGAACCGGGTTTGATTCCCCACTCCTCCACTTGCACTGCCTTCTAAGACTTGAAGAGACAGTAAAACCCAGGAACTTATGCTTGAATGTTTAAGCAGACACTGAAAAGAAAGTCTCTCTCCTCAAACTTTCAAAGACCTTGTTGAAAAGTAAAAATACCTACACATTGGCAACAAATTATCTTGAATTTAGTGTGATTACAAAGTTACCTCGGTTATCATCATCTGTCCACCTCATGCATCCCACCCAATTCCACCTGACCTATTCCCCTCAAAGTTAGAAAAAATATTTTGCTTATTTTGAACTTTCAAAAGCCTCTTGTGTGCCATTTCAGAAGAATAAGTTAAGAAGGTGGTTTTGTCTCTTCTCTCAGTGCCCTGGCTGCGCCAGCATCTAAATAGGTGGGACAGCCATAGGCCAACAAAAAAGAAGAAAATAGACACAGGGGCTGCTCAGCACGAAAGAAGAAACAAAGGGGAAATCCTATGTGAGAGGGAAGGAAGAGGGTGAGATTGCCATAGGTACCATCTGGGGAAAGGGTCCCCAACCTTTTTGAACCCGTGGGCACCTTTAAAATTCTGACGTAGCATTGTGGGTGCAGCTACAAAATGGCTGCTACAAAATGGCTGTTGCAGGACACAAAGCCAGCCACAGAATGGTGGCTACAGCTTGTACTGTGTTGGCCGTTGTTGCAAAAACAATGTTTTTAAAGATCTGCACAGCCATATCAAATCTCCAATGGCCAATTAGAAGCCTTGCTGGGCAGAAGCTCCAATTTGGTGGGCACCAGGAAGGGTATTGATGGGTACCATGGCTCCCACGGGCACCATGTTGGGGACCCCTGATTAGGGGGAGTAGAAAAATTATGCATGGTTCTGCCTGTTTGTATGAGCTGGCCTCTCTCATCCCGCAGTGGAAAACAATCCTTTGCTTGGGAAGACTTTGATGGATTCTACTGATGCCCTGGATCTTAACTGACCAACATATTTAAGGATGTAGGAATTCCTTTCATCCCTTTGCTCGTCATACCGGCCAGAATCTTCTGTGTGGCTGCCATTCACAGCAAAGTGACTTGGCTCACTCACGCGAGTTGTGCAATAGTGGCCCAAGTTATCTTACCCAACTGATAATTTCCAGATGGGGACAGGGAGAGAGGGAACTTCTGCCTGGATTCCAAAGGGCGTTTTGACCTTCATTGACAAGAATCCTAGGAGAATTTGTCTTGAGGTGTGCAGGAAAGAGGAGGTCAGGCTCGATGACCCTTAGGTGTACCATTACACTTCTGTAATTCCCTCCCTCCTGCCCAGCAGTGACAACTCACCTTCTCCACATGCAACGCCAATTTCACCCCATTGTGCAGCCACGAGAGAGCCACGATAGGGTCCCCTTCCACACTGCAGCCCATGGTGCTCTCCCAGCTGTTGGCCAGGTGGTCTGTCATGCTCCAGCATTTGATCTGGCCATCTGCATCTGCAGACAGAAGCCTGGACCCTGGAGCGTTAAAATTACAAAAAAGGTCAGTACCACCCACCTTTGGGAGGGGGACTATATGGACGTGGCCCACAGACAGCCATCTATTCTGTTAAAACAGTAATGCATGGTGTAATGATTGCATGTTTTGGTGTGTGTGTTTCTTTAAACATTTAGTGTGACTGCAGTAATGTAAGGAGAGTGATAGAGGGAGATGTGTGATGTGATTGGCTGATTACTGAGAGCGTGGGAGGAGATGTCTCTGAGGTGATTCAGTGTTCATGAGGAGAGGAGTGTGGAGAGTTTGTGAGAGTCTGTATGACAGAGGAAGCAGTTGGAGTTCAGCTTGTGTGGCTATATGAGAGTTTAGCCTGTGTGGCTATATGAGAGAGAGAGTGTTTAGCCTGTGTGGCTATATATGAGAGAAAGATAAGCCTGTCAGAGTTGAGTTTTGGTGTTTGAGAGACTGTGTGTGACACCAAGCTTTGTCAGTTATATTTTCTTTCTTCAACATCAGTTCGAAAATACCCAAAAACTTATTTTGTTCTTTTATAAAGAAATCATTATTTGTTTAAACTTATCCCAGCAATCAGTACAGTCCTTCCTCAGGGCCACATAATCCTCTGAAAAGTCCAGACACTGGGTCATTCTACCCAAATAAGAGAGATTTGGAATTTTTAATTCCTGGTGGCAGCAGAAATCTACTAAGTTCATGTACACAGAGTGGTTTTTAAAGGAGAAACAGTCTCCCCAATAAGCAGGATGTCACACATGGTGTGATCTGTTTTTTAAAAAGGAGCACGTTTCTAGCCCTCAGTGGATGTAAATTTTCCCAGCAACGCTGGGCAAACTGACAAGATATTGGGGTGACTGGTGGATTCACTGAACCAATATTATTTATTTACCTGCTTGGTGCCAACTCAGACTTCTTTCCTCCGACTGGCAGGAGCTCTCCAGGGTCTCAGGCAGAGACAGGCAGTTTGGTGTAGTGGTTGGGAGCACGGACTCTAGTCTGGGAGAACCAGGTTTGACCCCCACACACACCTCCACATGCAGCTGCCGGTGTGACCTTGGGTCAGTCACAAGTTCTCTCAGAGCTGTTCTCTCAAGGGCAGTTCTTGAAAGAGCTCTCTCAACCCCACCTACCTCACAGGGTGTCTGTTGTGTGGAGGGGAAGGGAAAAGGATCGTAAGCTGCTCTGAGACTCCTTCCAGTAGTAAAGGGCAGGGTATAAATTTAATCACTTCTTCTCCTTCTTCTTTCCCGGAGACCCTCAAACCTGAGCCTGAACCCAAGACTTCCTGTATGCCAAACAGATGCCCCTACCCCCAAACAGAGGGTCCGTTCCTCACCTGATTGGTCCCACTCCAAGCAGGTGATCATCTCCACATGTCCGGAATTAATGGAATAGACATCCCACGGATGTTCCGTGTCAATCATGTGGATCATGTGGGTGAGGTCTGTGGAGGAGAGGAGAGGGGAAAGGGTGGTCTCAGCGAGGCCTAGAAGAATGGTTCTCTTGTTTTTGCGGGCTGCTAGAGCTCTGATCTGTGTGTCCCAAAAGGAAGGGCCTTGTTAGATCAGGCACCTTCTAACTTGGCATCCTGTTTCTGACGGCAGCCAGTCCACAAGCAGGATTCTCCTCTGTGTGCCTTGCCAGAAAACGCCACTACAAAGGCTCATGGCCTCTGAACAGAAATTCAGTTGCTATATAATATACCAGGGGTCCCCAATCTTTTTAAGCCCCTGGGCACCTTTGGAATTCAGACACAGTGGGATGGGCATGGCCACAAAATGGCTGCTGCAGGAGGCAAAGCCAGTCACAAAATGGCCGCCACGGTTTACCTTCAGTCGGGGTTATTTTTGGGCAGGAATGGACGGGAATGGAGTTCCGGCTGGCTCCCAAGTTGACCACGCCCAGCAGGAAATCATTAGCATAATAGGCCACACCCAACAGCAGAAACGCATTAGGATTGGCTACATTAGGGGTGTGTGGCCTAACATGCAAAGGAGTTCCTGCTACAAAAAAAGCCCTGGGTTTTGACAACAAACAAGGTAAACAGAATAAGAAGCAAAAGGTGGGTGTGGCTGGATGGCGACACTTCTGGTAACATGGGGGTGCAGCCTAATATGCTAATGAGCTATGCTCTCATGGGTGTGGCTGGATATGCTAATGAGTTTCTGTTGTTGGGTGTGGCCTATTATGCTAATGAGTTCCTGCTGGGCTTTTTCTACAAAAAGAGCCCTGGACTGCCCGGGCAAGCCAAGGGAAGGCATGGGGTGTGGCCTAATATGCTAATGAGCTGTGCTGTCAGGGGTGTGGCCTATTATGCTAATGAGTTCCTGCTGGGCTTTTTCTACAAAAAAAAGCCCTGCCTTCAGTCATGCAGTAAAGATCCCTGTGCTGTGGTAGCAGCTGCCCCCAAAGTCACATTTAACAAGATCTGCACAGCCAGTCAGGAGCCTTGCTGGAGGAAAAGCCTCACCTGGCCCTGCCCGCTTTCTAAAAACAGTTGGCGGGCCCCAGGAAAGGTGTCAGCAGGCTCCATGCCTCCACGCCCTTGGGCACCACATTGGGCACCCCCAATATATACCTATACTCTGTTACATAAATTAAATGTTTGTTATTAGCCGAAGGCCACCGCTTCCTGCGTCATGATTCGAGATTACAAAAACCAAACAACAGCCAGGCTCCCAATCAGTATAAAACACAAACATGGAGCCAGCTACATATTACAGAGCGATTACGTACAATCAGGGGTTATTTCCTGCGGGAGCACACAGGAGCGGAGCTCCGGCAGTAAGGAACCCAGGGGGCGGGCACATGCAACAAGCCCCCCCCCCTGCTCCCAACAGCCCTCCGTCGGGCCACGAGGAGCAAGAAGCAGCCAGGTATGTTGCAGAGCCCCACCCACCTTCAGGTACAAGCTCTCCCTCCTCTGTGAGGGCAGATCTGCACGTTCCCCCCCCCCAATAGCTAGCAATCCAAAACAGTCCAGTGGAGCCTGAGCGGTGGGTGTTGCCTTCTGACACACTTCTGGTGATGTCAGGAGGAGTGGCATATGCAAATACGTTATGCTAATAAGTCATGCTAATGAGCTCCTGCACCTCTTTTTCTATGAAATGACCCCTGCATACAATTAAAAATTCAGTAGATAAATCAGTCCTAAAAAGGCATATTCAGTCAGCAAACCTCAGTGTATGCTTTAAAATACATCTCAACAATCAGTAAAATCGTAGCTCCCTATAGTTTACATAATATACATAATATAAAATACATAGAATTCAAATTACCATATATTATTGGAGACTACTTATCTAGGTCGTTCATCTACGTATTTGGCTCGCCTCTTAAAACTGCAGCTTGCAGCAAGAAATTTCGCACATTAAATATGTGCTGCACAACAGAAGGACTGTTATCTACCCTAAATCACCTGCACCACTGATTGTACTGGGTGACACTTCCCTTTCCAAGTTCTACAATAATGAATTCTGCCATCGCTGAATTCTGCTGAAAGCAGGGGCAGCAGTTAGGGGCACCCTCCACCATGCCTGGGCACTGCACCATTTGGGAAGAACGCCCTCCTTTGGAGCCCTTTGAACACTTGTGACACAGAGAAATATTACATTTTTAAAAGTGGATTTGCTCTTTCTTTACTCTAAACTTCGGGACATCGTAGAGTTGCCAAGTCACTTACTTGGCACAGCAGGGGAGCGTTGGTCCCTGTCCGGGACATTCTTGCGCGGGCGAAGCGCGCACCACGATGACATCACCCGGAAGTGACGTCATCACGTTGGGCACGTCGCCGGCCGACGCTCTAGCAATCAGCCTGGAAACTCTATAGTTTCTAGGCTGATTGCTAGACAAACACAGTGTCAATGGAATTATGCATGTGACTTCCAGTTAAAAAAAAAAAAGACAATATAAACAAACATTTTCAAGAACCTCTCAAAGTGTCAGACCGATTTCACACAAGAGCTGCGCTGCGGTCGCGCCTCCCTTTGCCCCGCTTCTATTGGTCAATTTCCCACTCGAAGCCGCGTGGCTGCATTTTGACCCGCGGCTTCATCCGATTTTCCCCGCAGTTTCGTGATCCTGTTTTTTGAGGATCAAGAAACCGCGGGGAAAATTGGGTGAAGACCTTGCTCATCAGTGTCAAAGTGCAGCCCCCCCCCAACAAAAAGCTTTCCTTCTTCAGAAGACATGATGGTGCAGAGATGTCAAACCACGTTTTCCAGACTGGAGCTGCTGAAAATGCAGGGGCCTTCTAGTTATTTCTGAAGCCCTGAGAGAACAGGCAGGGTGGTCTGAGACTGCATGAAAGCAAAATGAGGTATGTAATCTCCCTGGCTTCTCGGGCTGACCCCTGGGGGGGCGGGTTTTTCCCACCAAAAGGGCCCCCAACCTGCCGGTCCTGATCAGGCCAATGGGGGGAACCCCACCCCCAAATTGCCCAGTTTGGGCCAATGTGCCAAGCAAGATGGCATCACCTGGAGTTGACGTCATCATGCCGGGCACGTCGCCGGCCGACACTCTAGCAATCAGCCTGGAAACTCTACGGTACCATAGAGTTTTCAGGCTGATTGCTAGAGCGTCGGCTGGCGACGTGCCCAATGTGATGACGTCACTTCCGGGTGACGCCATCGCGTCGGGCACATCGGCCCAAACCGGGCACTTTGGGGGTGGGGTTCCCCCCCGCCGGCCTGATCCAAACCTGTGGGTCGGGGGGCCCTTTCAGCGGGCAATCCCCCGCCCCCCCAGGGGACCTCGCAGCCCTAGAACATGGAGAGCAGGGGTCCCCAACACACCGAGTGTTTTCAGAAAGCAGGTGGGGCCAGGTGAGACTTCTGCCCAGCAAGGCTTCTGATCGACCACAGGAGACTGGATTGGCCGTGCAGATTTTTGGAAACTTTGCTTTGGCGGCGGCAGCCACCACAGCAAAAGGATCTTCACTGTGTGACTGAAGGTGGGCTGTGGCAGCCATTTCATAGCATGCATTTTGTGGCTGCACTCCTCACGCCGCCTCAGCCTTCCGTAGCTGCCAGTGTAGTATGAATGGGAATATAATGGTTTTTCCTTTCAGATTATTCATATTTCTCTGGTTTAATAGATTGTTCTCATAAGTAAGATTTTATTAGGACATAATGAAGGCCTATTAAATAGTAGATATTACAACAAACAGGACCACGGTGTATAATAGCTAGTAAAACAGTAAATCACCGAGTACAATTAAACAATATTTGTTGGCTTTTATATGCAATGTTTAGAATTCAATTATTAACAAAATTACAACAATAACACTACAATATGCGATATAAAGGTTAGCAGTACATACAGAGTAATACAGTACTAGTTACAGACAAACGACGGAGCAAGCTCTAATGTGAGGGAAGCTTAGCCAGTTATTATATGCTGTAGTGTAGACCCAGTCACATTAGAGCTTGCTATAGGAGCTCCCCAGTCACCAGAATCTAAGCGCGGTAGTGTACATCAAAAAATTGTATAAGAATTAGCATTTTGAAATATGGCTTGCAGCACTTCATTCTAATGAAGAAATAATTACAGAATGACAAACCTGAAGAAGGACACGCAAACGGAGAGTGTACTAGAACTCCGTCGTTTGTCTGTAACTAGTACTGTATTACTCTGTATGTACTGCTAAGCTTTATATCGCATATTGTAGTGTTATTGTTGTAATTTTGTCAATAATTTAATTCTAAACATTGCATATAAAAACCAACAAATATTGTTTAATTCTACACGGTGATTTACTGTTTTACTATCTATTAAATAGTAGGCCTTTCCCTTGTAGGTTAGAGTATCTTTCTAGCTGATGCTAGCAGACAAGAAAACAACATTCTTCTGGTATAGAAGGCAGGTATAGAGTTCATGGAGTTTTTTTAGTTGTTTAGGGTAAAACATGGCCGCGTCTGGGTCAAAAGGGATTTTAGCTTCGTATCAGAAAAAAAAC